GCATCTTATCTGATTTATTCCAACCAAAAACAAATTCACAAAAGAAGAGTATCAATAATACACTTGAAAATTTTATTTCACTTGAACCAAGGCCAAATCACATAATAATTTACAATTCTAGATTCCTCTTGAAACAATTATTACTTTTGAATTCTAATTAAATTTTGACTGACTACAAGTGCTACGGATAATATGTATATATATGTATGTAGATATTTGGTTTTAATTGCGTTTACCAATTTCAAATAATGAAAATATTTAATAAAAATTTTAAAGTTTCATTGGTCTCATTGCACATCTCACATTGTCGTACAGCGTACAGCTATAAATTTATGAATTAAGGAAATTTTACAATTTTTCAGGAAATCATGTTCCTGTTTAACACTTATTTAATATATAAACTATGTGTTTTTATTATTGAATTGACGTAAAAAGTGTTTTGCGGTAAATGAAAGGAAATTATAAATTTTAAAATTTCCATAAAATCTCTAATTTTTTATTTGAAACAATTGTTTACGTAAATTGGACCACATCATTATTATTGAATTTTCCAATAAGAAGAAAAAAATTTTCGCTTTATAATTAAAAAAAAAAATTAATATCTTTGTATTGCTTTCATTTGTTTTAAATGAAAATTAAAACAAAAATTTTTTTTTTGAATATTTACAATTCTTTTGCGCATTTTTAAATTAATAAATTGTATTTAATTACTTAAAAATTGCTAATTATTCCAAAATACGTGATCGGAACCTCATTTCATTAATTGAGAATTTCAAAAGAAAATTTATTTTTAGTCACCTATATATATATTAAAAATGGGTACATATAGCGGGTATATAAAGTCTACATTGATTTTCTTCTCTAACAAATTATTTTTGTACGTTTTTCTTTAATTTATAACGCGTACATAAAATATACATAAATATAATTAATTTTATTTGGATTACGCTTGTAATAAAAATTGATTAAGAATGGATTCGGATATGTAAACTCAGATAACCTAGGAGAGAAATTGTATATTTTAGACCCGGAACGTACACATGAATTTTTTCTAAATATTTCAAAGTAATCATTCCTTCTAGAAGCGTATAATTGAAAAATGTATTCGTTCATTTTAAGGCAACATTCCGAACAATTTACGAGTAACTGGATTGTAAATGGAGCGAAGTCATACAATCACTCCACTACTACTAACACGGCCCAACTATGTTATATCAAATTAAAACACAATATTTAGAACCAACTCCAAACGACATTTCATCACAATTTCGTGGTTTGTTCGCTATATTATCAATTCTGATAGCGGTATATTACCTAATATATTGAATTCTTGAAATAAATCTCGAATTTCAAAAATATGGATAAGATTTTTTAAATAATTTTTTCTGTACGTCATCACTGGCTGGAAAACCCTGATAGGGTTTTCGCCCGTTGTAAGTTATGCCACAACGGGGATCAGTCTCTGGCTGATGTTCATCCAATTTGTTATTCCTATTGAGCAAGTATCTCTTTTTATGTTGTCTATCCATCTTAATTGTGGATGGCCTCTTTTTCGTTTCAAATTACTCCTAGCATAAAGTATTTCTTTTAATGAATAATTACTTACAGCCCTTTCTGTATACGTGCTGCCGATTGTAGCCTACTGAATTTAATTACTTTTATGATATTTGTTTGATTGTATAGCTGTTAGAGCACTTGATGAAATCGTTTATGCCATACACTGCAAGTCTATTTTCCTTTGCTTTAGTCAGCGTCCAAGTTTCACTTGCATATATTAGTATAGGAACTGTCAGAGTGCGATATATTTGTATTTTTGTTCCTCTGTTTATCAATTTGCTTTTTAGTTGTTTGTTTTACCCTTAGTAACATTTATTTGCTACTAATATTCACTGTTTATGTTTAGGCCTAGGTATTTGAAGTTTTGTGCGATTTCAAAGTTGTACTCTCCTATTGTTAAGTTTTGACTATCATTTATCTCTAGCTCTCTATCTTAGCTCTATCTTTTGTTTTTGACTCACTTGATGTTGATACGAGAATTTCGTTTTATTTTCGTTTATAACAAAACCCATAAATACTTCGCAGCTTTTTCAATATAAACAAAATTTGCTTTAAGATCTAAAATTGATTTTGTTACGATATCAATGTCATCCGCATAAGTAAGTATTTACGTTGTTTTATAATCGTTCGAAAAGAATTACTGAAAAGAATCGTTCCTTTTTTGTTGATTTGCGTTCTGTGAATTTAATTTTTTAAATATAATGTAAATTAAATAGAATTTGTTTTTTATTTTAAAGATTTACAAGTCTCTAATTATAAAATGAAATATAAAATCTAATATTTTGTGAATTTCTTAGTGCAATTTAGTGAATAATTTTTAAATTATTTCCATAATTTTATTATAATATTTTTTCAAATTTACATCATCAGAAATTATTTAATTTTATACTATGTTTAATATCAGCCGAAATTATTATTTATAAAATATTATTAAGAATGAGACACATTTGTATGCATGTTTATGTTTGGAATAAACCTTGGGGTGTCTTTTTTTCTCTATACGTTTTTCTTATTGTTTCCGAGTATATTTTTAAATTTCATATTAACATTTTCTCTTTTCTTTTATTTAAAAAAAAAATCATATAAATCGATTTAAATAAAAATTTGTAAAAATTTCTGAATTTCATTCTTTTATTTTATTAAAAAAAAAATTATTTACTGAGGAAAATTTCGGAAAAATTAATTTTATATTTTGTTATTTTTTTTCTTTTATATTTTCCATTATATTAGTTTTTTGATTTTTTTCCTTCGCTTGAATACTGTTCAGTTTGGAAATTGACGTCGTTTTGACGACATTAAAGAGAAATTTTTTGAACTCTTGTATACTAAAAAGATTCTGTTGGAAAAAATATTTTTAATTAAAAATTTCAAAAAAAATATTATAAATTTCAATTTTTTTAACATATTTAAAGTTAATTTCATGTGCCGTATCAAAAAAAATAAAAAAATATGTTGAATAAAATTTGGAAAAAAAAAATTATTTTCTTCCAAAATTATAATAATTTAGAAATTTGAATTGTTTATTTAATTTTCTTTAAAAATAACAAAAAAATTTTTTGATATTAAAAATCAAAAAACAAAAAAATAATAATAAGAAAACGTGATTAAATCAGTGCTCCTACACACAAATGTTCAATACTATCACAAAAAATTCACATTAAAAACAAAAAAGTACAAAAGTAATATAAAAAACAAATAATGAAAAAGTAAAAGAAAATACCGTTACAATGAAACATACTAAGTTTGACATAAACCATCACCACTCAAATATTATATTCAAACAATTATGTTTTGCGTTACTACCGAATGTCAAAATGTCGCTGCTGTAAATCCGCCAATACATTTTTATATACAATTACATATAGTAAGTGTATTATAGAAAAAGAGATTTTCAAATATTTAGAGTGTGAAAGTTCAATTGTGTTAGTATGACATTTATATTTTTGTGATATTAAATATAACAAAATTAAAAGAAACAAAGTAAAAAAAAGAAAAATAAAATGTGAGAGCATTTTTATTAGATTATAGGATATTTTTAAAATTTATGAGTTATAAAATGTAAAAAATAAAAACAAAACCCAAAAAAAAAAAAAACACAAAATACAAAAAAAAATAGTAAAATACAAAATTTTAAAAAGGAAATGTTGAGAGAATTTTATAAATTTAATATTTTATTTAAAATAGTTAAATATAAAATGTAAACAAGAGGCACAGAGAGAGAGAGAGAGAGACAGAGAGTAAAATATGAAATTTTTTTCAATAATCTGGATGATGAGATTATTTTAAATATTTTGTTCCCGTTTTTGTTTTCAATTTCTCTCTAATTTTATATAACATCATATTATATTAATTGTGCGACATGTGAGAGAAAAACAGATCATTCTTGCCGTTTGTTTTTTTTTTTTTTGTCTCATTTCAATACTTACTAAATTGTATATTGTACACAAAAGATAATATTTGTATGTCAAAAATATAATATAAATAAATGTTAAAATTATTATATAAAAGAGAAAATGTTCCATATACAATTATTTATTTAAAAAGAAATATAATAAAAAATTGAGAGTAATCCTAAACTAAATAATATTAAAGAGGAAATTTTCTGCAAAATCGGAAAACACACACAATAAAACACAAAATCATTTTATATGTATTCAAAATATATGATTATATTTTAATTTTCCAAAATTAATTATAATAAAAACTGAAAATTAAGAATAATATTTAAAAATATATACAAATACATAATACATATACATACGTATATACATAAGTAATAATAAACATAAAATAAAATTTTTATGAAAAATAAAATGAAAATGAAACAAAAATGAATGAAAAAAAATTTGAGAACAGCTGAATAAATTTTTGCGCCACTGTTATGATATCTATTCAGTGTTAAAATCATTCAAATTGATCGCGGCAGGTGAACTAAGAAAAACAGTTGAAAACCGCGTGCGGTAATCCTCAGTTCGAGGACAAAAAAAAAACAAAATTTTCATAATTTTTTTTTTAATTTTATAATTTATTTTTTTTTTTTTCGTTCGTCCGCTTTTTTTCTAATAGTTTTTTTCCGTTTCGTTTATAATAACAAATTAATTTGTTTTTCTCTTAATTAATTAATCATTAATAATTGAAAATTGATAATTAAAATTTTTTCATTTGAATATTATAAAAAATTAAAAATTTTATATTATGCTTTATTTAATAAATCTATGATTTTTGATTGCATAATGAATTAAAAATATAAAAGTATAAAACAATTATAAAAGAAAATTAAAAAAAAAAATAAAAATAATAAATTTGTTCAAAAAAAAAGAAGATTTCATTAAAATCAAAACAAATTTATAAAAATTGCATTTATAATCAAGATTTAATTTAATTAATTTTTCTGTTTTTTTTTCTAAAATAAATTTTAATTTTTTAAAAAAATAAATGAAAATTAAATAAAATTTTGCCGCGTAACGAAATATTGAAATTTATTATATACACACATTACGTGTATGAAAAATGAAATTTAATATATTTATTTTATTAAATTTATAAAAAATAATTGAAAATAATAAATTTCGACAAAAAAAAAACGTAAAATAACTTTGAAAAACAACAAAATTGAAATATTTGAAAAAAAAAAAAAAGAAAATCATTGACACCCGAGCGATCAAAATATGAAGAATTTGTGTGTTTTAATTTAGTTTATTAAGAAATTGAAATTATTAATAGTATTATATATAAAAAAAAATTATAAAATAAAATTTATAATTAAAAAAAAGAGAAAGAAGAATTTCATATATTAATAATAATAATTAATATATATATATACATATGTATATTTTCTACTAAAAAATTTATTATATAAATGTTTAGTACTAAGTTATAAATAAAATAATTGAGAATTTAACAAAAAAATAAATAAATAAATAAAAAAATTCAAAGTGGTAGAGTAACGAAAATTATAAAAATTTAAATATTTTTAATTTCTCGAAAAAAAAGAAAGTTTATATTATTATAATATAAAATAATACACGCACACACACACAAAAACACGTATATATGCAATATATTTTTATATACGCCGTAAACATCCATGTAAAATACGATCATAACAGTAAAATATAAAATAATAATAAAACAAAGTAAATTTTAATTAAAAATTAATTACAAAACTGTTATATTTTTTTTTTTAAATTTTAAAAGAGCCGCAGAAAATTTTTTTTATAAAAATTTTTAATTCTTGTAAACATTTTACAGTGAGTATTTTTTTACATACTTTTCTTATGCTCAGTAAGAGAATTATTAAACTTTTAACATTTTTATAAAATTATTTTAAATTTGCATAAATTTTTTATTATGTACAAAAGAATATTAAAATATTTTTATGAATGAACACAGAAAAAAAATTTTTTTTTTTTTTAAACAACGACTTTATATATTTTTTTTTCGTATATAATTTTCTAATAAAGTCTTAAATGAACAAGTGATGAAATAAAATTTATTTTTAGATATTTTAAAAATAAAATTATTTAAAAAATAGGAAAAAAATAACAGAAAATAATGAAGATTATATATACGGCTTCTTTTCTCTTATATTTTCTTATTCTTTTGTTTAATATATTTTATATATATATATATATATATATATATATATTATTTAAATATATATATATACAGGATTATGCTTATGTGGAATATTATTCTATATTTAATATAATAAATGTTAAGAAAAAAAAAATAGATATTTTACGTATATAAAATTTAATAATTAAAAATAAAAATTTTTTGTTTACAAAATTGAATTTATAAAATACACAAAAAAAAAATAAAATTTAAAAATCGCGCAAAATGAAATTCTATTTTAATAGGCAAACTGTAATGGTCGAATAAACAAACACAAAATTTTCATGTAAACATGATTTTTTTTTTCTTATTGTACATTTTATAAGAATCGCAATTTCAACCAATCTTTATGAATAATTATTAAAATGTTATATTAAAATAGAATAAATATAAGTAAAATAACTTAATTTTCCAAACAAAAAAAAAAAAACATATTAATCAGGAGATATATTAATAGACTTATGATCACTATAAATACAGATCGACAGCATTCTAATAGTATTGTCGTACACTATTTTAATGAATATACAACCATTCAAGATAAAAGAGCGGCGGCTCCTTTAATTTGACCAAAGCCATGTTTGACTTTGGAGGGCCAAGTACAACAGTCCAGCTTACCCTGAATGATTGGAAGTGATGGGCCACGGTCGGAGATTTTGACGCTTTGCAAGGGATTTTGTGACGTCAATGGAAGTGTCGCGTCTCTAGGAGGCTGCTATATTGCAATTTTTCTATGACCTAGATATAGTGTTAATGTAGATGGTGATGGGAATCACTATCAGCGTCTTGATCCCGCTATGGGAAGAAAAAATTAAAAACCCATTCAAGTTTGTTCATGGTTATATTAGAAATATTTAATTTAACTTCTTATGAGCCCTTGTTAAGTTTAACAACCCTATTTCTGACTAATTTTAAATACTCTTTGGAAAGTTAATAATGGCTGTCATATGCATCCATTTTTCATTTCCGTTCTCCATTTTAACTCATACTAGCTGTCGGATTAATGACAATAAAACGGGAAACTTGATTTATGTTAGATTCATAAACAAAAATAAATAAATTGAAACCATTTTTAGAATCTTTAATATTTACTTACAAGATCAAAATAATCAACTTTTCACAAATATTTTTTTTGGGTCGAATATTTTTTACTCAAAAATTCACAATTTATTATATTTTTCAAGTCCAGTATTTTATATATTCTAATCATTGGCAAATTCATTTTCAAGAAAACAAAAAGAAAATTTAACAATTTCATTTTCCAAAATTATTTTAATCGGTCATATGATTTAGTTATTTTTTTTTTTCGAAATCTGCCAAATATTTGTGTTAACCTATGTTTATTAAAATTAATCACATTTTAGAGTCTATTTAAATTAATTATTTAATTAATCTACTTTTTATATGTTAATTGTAATTTACACGGGACTGCTGAATACAAAATATTTCATATTTCAATTATAGAATGTTAATCAGCAGCAATGCTAACGATCTATCTTTTGAATTTAGAAAATTATATATATATTAAAAAAATGTATTAAACCGGAAGAAATTTTTGAGAGGGAGGCTGTTACAAATTTGCAATTAGCTTGTTCAATATTATGATCAGAATTTACATGATCAGATATTCTAGAATTTATGTATGTGTGCCATCTATTAAAATAACAGAATATAAATATTGAAATTCCAAGTTCTTTTTATTGTAAATAAATTTGTTTTCTATCATACGAATACGAAAAATATATGCATGAATGCATTAAACAAATAAATAAAGTTCAATTTTTTCATATTCATTCAAATTCTATTTCATTTATAATTTAATTTTGTTCGATTTTTCTTCTCTAATTTTACATTTTACGAAATCTTACACGAATATTTTGCCCATTAGTATTCAAATGTATTAAATAGGTTCAATGAAATATTTCAAATAATTTCAGAGGTTTTCTTTTAAATTTTTTTTTTTTTTTAAAAACTATTTAAGTTATGATATTTATGTTTTCATTAAATAGAAAACTATATATTGAAAAATCTTAAAAATTGTTTCTATAACAATATTTTAAAATATTATTTTACAAATTCCGCTTTTTTTTATTGTAGGCGGACAGATGATCATTAAATTGTACATATTGCATATAACAAATATTTCCTTTTCAAAAAAGAATTATTATGTATAATTTGATTTACATATGTGTTCATTTTAGAACATAATTATTACACAATCCCCTTAAAAGTTTTACAAAAAAAAAATAGAAATAATTTGAAAATATTTAGGGCTTAAGGCAATTTTAATGTAGAGTTTACACAATATGTTTACACTAAATATTAAATAAAAATTTGTGAGTTACACACCCAATAAAAACTCACAATTAGTTGTAACATAAAAGATATTATATAGATCCTGACGGATAATCTTAGTGGAACATGAAATTGCAAATATAATAAAAGAAATTAGTTATCTAATCGCATTAGCAATTGAAAGATATTTGGCGATAGAGATTCTCACTGTTCGCGAGAAGTATTTATTCAAAACTCCCATTTTCAGGTCACATTTCCGAGCGCTGCCACCCATATTTTACAAGTATGTAAATTGAAAAATATACTGCGAGGTAACAAGAATTACTGATTAACAAAAGGAAAGCACTGCCTATTTGTAAACCTAAAAGAAATAATCGAGAGTTATTAAAGCACATAAACTTGAACATCAATTCAAATGTTCTTTTGTCTAAATTTTATTAACACCAAAATTTTGATTTTCATGTGCTGATATGATAGTTGTGATTGCCGTGCGATACCATAGCATCACATTGTTTAAGCCACCTCTTGTTCGGATTAATTTCATGCATGTTTTCAATCATAAATAATTGATAATAATGAGGTAAAGATTTCCATGGGCTCTTATATGAACTCCTACCTCACCCTTAAACAAATAAAGCCCAATAATTTTAATAGCGTAATGTAGAACGGACGGGTGTGATGGTGGTTGAATGAAGAATGACTATATAGCATCTTCTGTGGATAATTATGTAGAATTGCACCATGAACCAGTTCAAAATTTACAAGATTCTAGTAAGGTATTTTGTGCTATTTTATTGACAAATTTCATCGTTAATAAATGAACCGCAAGAATCGCTTTCTTCTAATTTTATCATTCAAGAATCTGCAATATTAAAATTAAATAAACCATTTTTTTTCGTTAATCTCTATATTCGGCATAATTTTAACGATAAGTGATTCCTCGGATGCTTTCGACATTATAAAGAGTGATAAATTTTCAGTATTTTAATGAATGAGTTAGTTAATCTTTTGACATTAACAATAAAAGCAGCCCACTATATCAAGTTTATTATCGGAAATAAAGATTTTGTTCAATTAAAAAGGCTTTTTACATAATATTCAAAATTCATAAAGTAAGAAACAACTTACCTAACTTAATTTTATTATATCAAATTTGATACTTTGAATCATAGGCTTTTTTGTTCTATTTTAATTGACTGTAAAAACGACAAACAGAAAATTATTTATTTCATTCGTTTATTCATTCGTCTTGTTTTTTTTTCGCACTTAATTGTCTTTTTTCGTTGTTTTCACAATATGACACATAATTCTTTGATAAAACATAAGTCTTTTTAGTGCCAAAAAAAAAACAACAATAACAATCTAGAAATAAAAGTAATAAAACATAAATATAGTGTGACTTTATAGACTCTGAGGTCTATATTACGAGTTGTACATAATATTGAGTATATGTAGGTACATACAACATATTGTACGTATAGTATGTCGGGAACGCTTTATAGTTCATATGACTCATAATAGCACATGTTAGATTCAATTTTGATCTAAGACTATTTTTGGATATTTGTAGTTCATCTGTTCCTGTTTCTTCCCTTCATATAGCCAATATATTATTTTAATTTTCATATTATGAATCATCATATCATTAAAATTATATTATGAATAAAAATAAAATGCTATTATATACGGAAATTTATATGTGTACATAAAAAAAAGATTAATACATTCTTTACTAACAAGCACAAAATTAGTTCAGCAATTAAATTCAAAATAATTGGAAAATAATTTTTTATTATTTTGTAGAAATTTTTTTCTATCTCATTGTTTGCGTACTTTTTAGCACTTTTCCAAAAAATTTTTTGAAAAAAGTGCTTGTTAGTTTCACTCTGTCCGTCCGTCCGTCCGTCCGTCCGTCCGTGGACACTTTTTTTGTTTACAAAACTTCTACACCTTTGAAGATAGAAAGCTGAAATTTAATACGTACAAAGATCTTCACTAGAAACTTATTTTAATGGTGTCAACAAAAATATCATACGCTTTTAACATTCAACTGTGTCCTACGCAATTTTCCCACGTCAAATTTACCGTTATCTAAAGTCCTTTTTTTCCAAATTTTTGACGTCGTTTTTCTTCTAGACCCCAGACTGTAGAAGCTTGAAATTTTAGGAGCTTTTAGATATTAACAAATAGTTCATTTTGTTAGAAGAAAATTTTTTTCCATCTCCACCCCCTCTCAAGTTATCACCTCTTGAAATTCGTAAAATTTGAATTTTGACACCTTATATTTCCGAAACCGCAAGCTTTTTCAAATTTTTATAAACCCAAAAAGCTATGGGTA